GGAAAAACTGTTGGATACGGACTCCACTGAGTGGTGTAAGAAACAGTCTTTGGCCCCATTTTCCTATCATTATTCTAGCTCCCCTTCTCTGTCCTAATTGCATCATGTCCCTGGTTAGTGGGGCCACTTGCAACTCTGAAGCCTACTTGCCTGTTCCCCTCTCTGGCAGTTACGTAACATCTTCTGGTGGGGCCCAGGAGCTTCAGGACCCATTGCAAAGGCAGAGAGAGGCTGGAGGAGGGGTGTGTGAAGACCCAAACAGAGCAGTTGCATTGTGTTGCAGTAGCCGCACCAGGAGCTCCCAACTGCTCACTGTGCGGGGAGCCAGCCTGGGGTCCTGGGCGGCACTGCTCAAGGGCTGAGAAGGACTGTCCAGTGGCCGCCACTGGCGTCCAGGCTGTGCACGAGAATGATTTAAAGAGATGGCACGAGGCCATTCGGCTGGCCCCGAATTTGATCTACTTTTCTAAGTCATAAATCTAGCGTTCACATAAATCTTTGTATTCTCCCATCCCACCCATGCTGGGTTCATTTTTTTCCCCCATGAACATAAATAAATCACTGGCAGAGATCCTCTAGCCACGCCCCAGCCCATGCAGCTGAGAGCTGCAGCCGAGAGCTGGGCCACCGGGAGAGGCTCTCTCTCACCATGACTCCATTCACAGCGAGAAGCCTCCACACAGGTCTTTGCATGGCTGCCTCTGAGCCCGCAGCCTCTTCCTTTATTATTAAGTAGCTTTCCACAACAGGGAGGCCCCGGGGGGTTATAGAAGCATAATGACCCGAACACATGGCTGCTCACAGAAGGACTGGGGGTTCTAGCCCACCCACAGGCACCTTGGAAGAAAGTCCTAACACATGAGATCTGAAAGGTCACAGTCATTAAAATCCATAGGGGTGCAGTTATACTTTGTCGCCCATGAGGTGGCCAGGAATTGCAGCCAACATTGGTACCAGCTAGTCTGGACCAGCCATCAAGTGGAGCATGCATACAGCCAGGCTGGTCCAAGGCAAGCAGGGACCTGTGCATCTCCACCCTTACCTCTCTCTGCCCTTGGCCAGGCCCACCTGGCTGTCATTGCTGTAGGGCCTGACCCTGTTGGGGGCAGCCCGCACATCTCACCCTTGCTGACCTCTCCCTTGCACATAGTTGCTTTCCTCTGCCCCCCCACCACCCTCATCCCCTTGGAGACCTGCCTACTGTCTAAACCAGCAGTTCTCAACCTGTGGTTTGGGACCCCTTTGGGGGTCGAATGACCCTTTCATAGGGGTCACCCGATTCATCACAGTAGCAAAATGACAGTTATGAAATAGCAACGAAAATAATATTATGGTTGGGGGGGTCACCACCACATGAGGAACTGTGTGAAAGGGTCGCAGCCTTAGGAAGGTTTAAAATCACTGGTCTAAACCATCTCATAAGGTAACTCAGGCAGGTGGGTTGGACAGGAACATGGCCTGTGCTCCAGCCCTAAGGGCTTAGTCATCCAAAGCTGTTAGACCGTCTCTGGAAAATCCCTTCCCTGGCCTGGACCTCAGTCTTCAAATAAAATGAAAAGAACAATAAGCACATGAGATTGCTTTCAACATTTTGTTAGCAGTGGTCATTTCACCAAGCACTTTTTCATGGCACCCCTAAATGTTAAACATGAAGGGGGCTGCTGTTGAGGGTGAGCTGTGGGGCTGGGATCTCTGGCTGAGAGATCACAACCCCTTTGATCGCCAGACAGGTGTCACCTTTTTTTAGCTTCAAGATTGAGGTTCTTGGTTAGAAGGTTCAAGGCAATTCTAAACATCTGTAACACACGCTGCCATTGAGTCCATCCCAACTCATTAGTTCCCTATAAGAGAGGAGAACTGCCTTTTGGGGTTGGCAAGACTCTTTAAGTTATTGTGGAACAGACAGGCGCATCTTTCTTTCAAGGAGGGACTGGTGAGTTCAAATAGCTCAGTGGTTCTCAACCTGTGGGTCGTGACCCCTTTGGGGGTCGAACGACCCTTTCATAGGGGTCACCTGATTCATCCCAGTAGCAAAATGACAGTTATGAAGTAGCAACAAAAATAATGTTATGGCTGGGGGTCAGCACCACATGAGGAACTGTATGAAAGGATCGCGGCATGAGGAAGGTGGAGAACCGCTGAAATAGCTGCACTTGCAGTTAGTAGCTCAGTGCAAAGCCCACTCAGCCAACCAAACTTCTGTCACCAAACCAGGCTCACCGCCCTCGAGTCCCTTCTGGGTCATAGAGACCCTGCAGGACAGGGCAGAATACGCCTGTGGGTTTCCGAGATGGTAACTTTTTGTGGGAATGGAAAGCCTCCTCTTTCTCCAACAGAGCTTCTGGTGATTTTGAACCACTGACCTTGTGGTTAGCAGCCCACCCGATGAATCGCCACTACACCACCAAGGTTCCTTCCGCAAACTGCTAGAGTTAAAGATAGCTGAGTGGACTTGCACCCAGACAGGGCTGGGTCTGGGTTTTCAACTCTGAAATGAGGTTAGAACAGACAACATCTAATGTTTGGAGCCACTGAAGAGGCCAGCACTTCTAATGTATGCTGTTGACTGACGGGGGTCTGAGAAGACCCTTCCATGTCTGCCCTCCTGAGAGGGGCTCAGGTGGCACAGTGGGGAAGCACTCAGCTGCTCACCAAGAGGCCAGGGCTTTGAACGCACCCAGTGATCCTGAGAGAGGAAAGTGCTGCCGACCAGCTCCCATAACATCACAGCTGAGAAAACCCCACGGGGGCGGTTCTACTCTGTCATATGGACTTGCAATGAGTCAGAACCAACTGGCTAGCACCTAACAATGGTCCACATCCTGAAATGCTGAGAATCCAAGCCGGAAAAACAGGTGTCGCCAAGCCCTAGTGACCCCTGTGCATCTGGAGAAACAGGGTGCTGTGGTGGGTGCTTGGTGGTTGATTTGGGGGATTAGAACACTAAGTCTTCTGTCCTCTGGGGGGACTCGAACATGCAACCATTTGATTAATAGTTCAAGCACATTAACCGTTTGCAACACTCCTGGGACTACAGGCCCATACTGCCCTGTGCATTTTGGCTCATGGGGGCTGCAGGGGAAAGACGTCAGACCCCCTGCCAGAGGGGGTCACCAGTGACAGGGAGGGCCAAGCTGCCTGGATAAGCCGCAAAGGCCACCCACCTGGCCGAGGGAAGGCAGAACTGTGCTCCACACAGTCTAGAATTCTGCTAGCTGCAAATGGCATGCCAACTTCACACCCACTTCCTCATTTCCTCAGATTGTGGCTATTGAGGGCACTGAATGGTGTCAGGTGCAGCAAGCAGCTATTTGGCTCCATCTAACTTCCAACCTCGTGGGGAAAGGTGTAGATGCACCTGCACCAGCTGCTCCTCCATAGGGCAAAGCACTGTTCCCTCCACAGCTCTGGGATGCCCGAGGAACGGCACAGCCCTCTCCAGGTCCCTCCGGTAGACTTAAAAGGCCCCCAGCTCCCTGGGTGGTGCCGATGGACAACACACTCAGCGGATATCCATAAGATTGGAGGGTCAAGTCCACTCGGAGACACCTCAGAAGACACACCCAGGGACCTATGTCTCGAAAATCAGCCGCTGAAACTCCTTTGAGTCTAGTTCTCCTCTGACACACATGGGGGTCACTGTGAGTTGAAATTGAGCCAAAGTGGGGTTTTTTGTTTTGCTTTGTTGTAATGGTGCTAATGCATAAAGTTAAAACTGAATGTACAAATGTGCTTTACACAATTGATGTATGTATGGATTGTGATAAGAGTCGTATGAACCCCTAATAAAACAATTAAAAAAAACAACTGGAGCAGTGGTTTTCTCTTTTTAATGATTTTATTAGGGCCTTCTTTAGCTCGTATCACAATCCATACATCCATTCATTGTGTCAAAGGCATTTGTACCTATGTCGCCCTCATCATTTTCTTTCTACTTGAGCCCTTAGTATCAGCTCCTCATTTTTTTTTGCTCCCCCATCCTCCCTCATGAACCCTTGATAATTAATACATTATTATTATTTTTTCATGTCTTACACTGACCAATGTCTCCCTTCAACCATCTTTCTGTTGTCTGTCCTCCTGGGAGGGGGTTATATGTAGATAGATCCTTGTGATCAGGTCCCCTTTTCTCCCCCCACCTCCCCTTCCCCTTCTGGTACTGCTGCTCACATTGTTCGTCCTGGGGGCTTTATGTGTCCTGGATGCCCTGTGTTTCCAGCTCTTAACCTGTACCCGTGTGCACAGAGCAGTGGCTTTCAAGGGGTGTGGTTTAGCAACTAAATGATCTCTTCCAAGGATTCTTTAGGGCTCCTCAGGAGAAAAACAGCTTTCTACCCCTCTGAACAGTTACCCTCTGGGAAACCCACAAGGGCAGTTCTATCCTGTCTGTCTGCAGGGACTGCTGGCGGGGGAGCGTGGGGGGGTGGTTGTGAGCTTTGAACCACTCTTAACATGCAAAACCCTGCCTCTTTCATTTGCTGCACATACGGGTTTCAAAACATTGAAAAGGCTTTTAGCCTTTTTTTTTTTTTTGCATGAAATAGATTCACCTGCAAATTCCCTCTGAAGAGATTCATAATTACCCGGGATCAGATGTGTTGTGTGAAGGCAGTGGCCTGGTGTGTGAGACACAGGCGTCAGTAAGGTTGGTTTCTCTTTCTTAGAGGAAGAGGAGAGAGCCCATTGTTGTGGTTCAGGCTCGTCCTTGTTGTGTGCTGTCAGTTAGATTCTGACTTGCAGGGACCAGGGTAGAATTGCCCCATCCGATTTCCCAGGCTATGGAAGGAGATCTTTTACCAGCTCCTTCCTCCCTGGGAGCCCCTGGGAGCTTCCAACTGCTGGGTACTCACGGAAGCATTCTGCCCTGGGGATGCTTCCACCCCAAATTAAAATCGTTTTTGTTGGGAACCCAGAGAGTGTGGAATCAGCTCCATTCCCAAGGGGACAATCCAGGGACCACAGCACCCTAGTAGCTAATAGCCAGTGTCCTGCATTTTCAGGCCCTCAAGGACCCCACCCTGGCTGCCCGGAAGGATTTCCAGCGGGAGGCTGAGTTGCTCACCAACCTGCAGCACGATCACATTGTCAAGTTCTACGGGGTGTGTGGCGACGGGGACCCCCTCATCATGGTCTTTGAGTACATGAAGCACGGGGACCTGAATAAGTTCCTCAGGTAAGCACGGAGCTCTCACCTGATCCAGGAGTCATGCCTCCCCTCGGAGACTGAGAAATAGGAAGCCACCTGTCTTCTTGAGGACCCTTGGTGGCACGGGTGGTTAAGCATTGAGCTACAAACAGAAAGGCCAGCAGTTTGAACCCACCAGCAGCCCTGTGAGAGGGAGCCATAAAGATAACAATTCTGCAGGCTCCTCTGGGCAAGTCTATTGTGTCCTGTCAGGTCCTTATGACTTGGAAGGGGCTCCGTAGCAGCAGGGAGAGCCTTTCTCCTTGGGCATCCTCTCCTGAGAAGTCTTTGTCCCACACTTTAGGGGATAAGGGCAAAGGTGGAGGATGATGGGAAAAGTGTCTTATCTTCTCTGTCTTAATTTTAAGTGAAGGAGAAGAGAAAGGTCTAGAACGAGGCCAAGGAAGGAATCAGCTGGCTTACAATTTATCACCCCTAGATCCAAAGATCATCTCTCCCATGGATCTTAAGACCCTGGGGGTCTTGCTTCCTCACATGCAGCCCTCCTGGAAATCTTCTTGCTAAGGACTCTTTGGTGATGAATCCGAAGGTACAAGGTTGCAAACTCATTATGATACAATCAGGGTTTAAAAAAAGCAAAGACCTAATTTGCTTGGTTAAATTCCAGAATTGGGCTATCCAGTAAGACCCTAAGTAAGGTCAGAGTCATAAGTGGACAGTGCAATGTAAATGAATTAAAATTACATAAAATGTAACTGTGCAGGTACACTGGCCACATTCCAGATACCCAGTAGCCAAATGTGTCTATCCAAACAATCTACTGCCATCAAGTAGACTCTGATTCAGAACAATGCTATGTGGTGCTTCCAAGATTGTAAATCTTTATGGTAATCGATAGCCTCATCTCTCTCCTATGGATCTGCTAGTGGGTTTGAACCACTGATCCTGCAGGTAGCGGCCCAGCACTTACCAGACAACTCTGTTGTGGTTAGAAGCTAGTACATCAATCAGTGTTGATGTAGAACATTTCGATCTCAGAAAGTTCTAGTGGACAGCGCTGTTCATTCTAGAAAGAGTAGCCTTCTTGTAAGAAGGGTTTCCTCATGTTTGGAGGAAGAACCAGAACTGACAAGAGTTTGGCAGCTTCTAGGTTCCAGTTAGATGGTCTAGATGGAATTTCAGGGGCAGATCTGCCTTCTCTGTGAGAAACAGAGCATCTCCTCACTAGAGCTCTGGTTTTTACATCAGAGTCTGCTTTTTACATCAGCCACCTCCAACTATTATCCCAATATAGCCGGGAAGGTCACAGCCAGATGGGAGGGGTCTATAGACTCCACGGACTTCCTGGGACTTCCAATGTCCCAGGAAGCAGGTCAAACCTTCAACTCCAGGAGACTTAGACAGCATCTCTGTCACAGTCACCATTGAGGTTCATTTGAATGCCATGGCTGAGGGAAAAATGCCCAGAGATCAGGTTACAGAAGGCTCTATCAAACCACGTACCAAAAATGGAGGCTCTTCTAATAGGGTGCTGTTATTTGAGGGTGGGATCGGAGTGAGGTGATGGAGTAATAGGCTGGAGGAGATTGTGGAACTCTGTTTTTAAGAGCTGGATTGACCAAAAGAGACCTTGGAGGGATTTAAAGGGCCTGTTCTTAGGAGACCCGGTGCCACAGTCAAGTAAGCATTAGGTTCAAATCCACCAGCTGCTCTGAGGGAGAAGGGTGAGACTGCTGGTTCCTGTACAGCTTTACAGTCTCGGAAACACTCGGGAGGGTTGTTATGAATCAGAACGGGCTCGATGGCACAGGGCTATGCCAAAGGTTAGTGTTGGTAAGGTGCTTTAAACAAATTTTTCCCAAAGTGGGGGTGATGGCTCCCTGTGTAGGGGACTATCCAGGTATGATCCAGGAGAGCTGCAAAAATAGATACCGATCCTCTTTTTTCTGGATTATGGGCTAGCAATCAAAAGTGTTTACTTGCCAGGAGGATGCTGAGTGGTTTGGGGTGTTTTCCCTCTTCTTCAGAAAAAGGGGCAGTAGGCAAAATAAATTTAGGATCCATGCTCTAAGTCTTCTGATCCTCGGTTTACAAAGAAGGGCATTTCTTTATCCTCAGTTCTTAGCGTACAACACACATGGGTTCCAATCCTTGATTTTGCACTTCTTTGTGAAATCTGGAGCAAATTATTAAGCCTTGATTTTTCTCTCCTAGCAAAGAAGTGTGTTATTCATTGCTCCCCACCATGACCACCAGGGGCATGAAATGGTGCTACCTTGTGCGTGCTGGAGCTCCCGAGGACGCTCACAGTTTTCCACTGTTGGTGGGGTGCACTCGGACCACCTTCCGTGCTTCATATTGGTGGGGTGCATTTCATTTTTTCTTCTCCTGCAGGTTTCTGCCTGACTCGGCCCCCCTTGTCATAGACGGGTGTTGCTAGGTGCTCAGAACACAGTGGTTACTAGGAAAATCATGACTCTCCGTCGTCTCTGAGAACGTCTAATCCAGGAGGTTCCCTTTCTCCCTTTGCTTCCTCCTGGGGTCAGAGGGACATGCCCATTGCCCCGTGCCCTCTCTGTTGGTTAAGCAGCCATCGAGACTCTGTAGAGGGTTTCTGAGAGTGTAAACCTTTAAAGGAGCGGCTCCATCGCTCTCCCTCTGAACAGCTGATGGGTTTGAACTGCCAACCATGAGGTGAGCAGCCCAATGCCTAACCACAGCACCACCAGGATTACTTCAGGTGCCACCGACAAGTGTCTCTCTGCCTCACGGTCATGGTCCCTCTAAGGGCTGAGCAAGAAAAGATGGATAGAAAGGAAATAAAGCATGGGAAGCCAGAGGAGAACAAGGGGTGAGAGAGCTTAAAATCACAAGAAAAGGAAAAGCAGGCAAAGGGGTGCTGGAGAGCCTGTCACCTGGTTCCCACCGCTCCCCCCTCTCCCCAATGGGCACCTCTAGAGAAGGCATGGGGGACCTAGGAAGGGCACCCACTGGGCTGGGCCTTGATGACAGGCACCTATGGCTATGGCAGCTCTCCAAGGACTCTCTTTCTGAAGATATCATGGTGGGGGTTGGTGGCGGGGGTGGGGGCTGTCTCTCAGTCAGCCCCAACAGCCCTCCCAGGGCTATTTTCTAGAACACAGTATGCACTTGGGCCTTCACAGCTGACCAGAGTCCTTAGAAATGCCTACTCCATCTTCCAGGGCTGTGTCTGTCAAGGGTGGTCGTCTGCAGAAGCCCCTGGTGGCTGCAGTTTCCAGACAGGGCCACCTGAGCTTTCCTGGGAAGTGGACTGCAGACTGGTTTCACACCACGGCCTCCATGACCCCAGGCTGGCCCTGCCTCTTCTCCTAACCCCATGCTTGTGTGGGTTTTTACGGCTGGCGGGAGGATCCTTGCCTGGTAAACAGGAGGGGGCTTATCTATTGACTCTTTTCTTGTAGCCATAGCTGTAGCAGCATCCCCTCTGAGGAGTGAGGAGGGCAAACCCCACAGGGTGTAGTAAGACAAACATGTTTGTATCTAATGAAGGAGTTCCATGGAGATTGGAAAGCACTAAAGTAGGCCGAGGCCCGGCTATCCACAAGGGGCCCCTGGCCCACAACCTCATAAATAAAGGCCCCGGATGTGGTCACAGCCCCCTGGGCTTTTTTGGCCGATCTGGCCGACCAATGTGCTGGGACAAGAGCTGTAGGACTTGATTTGAAGTGGGGTGTGCTGTCAGTGCCTCAGGTCGGAGGGTCTCTTTCTCCTGGGCCCAGTAGCTCTTTCCACAGCCAACTGTCCCTTGGCAAGTTCTGCCTCTTGATGCCCCATGCGGCTACTCCACACTGCCTGCCACCTTGGCCTGATGAGCTGGTCGCACTGCAGTTTGGTTTCCTGATTTCAAAATTAGGGTGAGGGAGCGAGTCAAATGGCTGAAAATGTCAGAAACACTCAGGAATGGTGCTCGGTCCCTCAGGTCAGTGGAAGAGCTAATTCTTGTTACCATTTTATTCTATAACAGATGTCTAGAACTTGGGAACCCCCTGTGCCAGGGGTCCAATACCAAAATGAGGACCACTAGTTTACCCCATCACCTATGGGAGCCAGCTGTGGTGATCTTGCTGGGACTCGGGTTGTGTGGCCTTTCCCTGCATCCCTACACTCACCGTACAGTTTTGAGCCGATGGAAATAAGCTACCAAATAGCTGCAAAGTGAGCTTTGGTTCACGTTTGTGAGGGAGTCCAGAGAAGAGGGAGCCAGGAAGGTTTTCCCCCTTGATCTGCTGAAATTCTCTCTGCTCCTCCCTTCTCTCACCCCCACACAGGGCCCACGGGCCGGATGCCATGATCCTCGTGGATGGGCAGCCACGCCAGGCCAAGGGTGAGCTGGGGCTCTCCCAGATGCTGCACATTGCCAGCCAGATCGCCTCGGGCATGGCGTACCTGGCTTCCCAGCACTTCGTGCACCGGGACCTGGCCACCAGGAACTGCCTGGTAGGAGCCAACTTGCTGGTGAAGATCGGAGACTTTGGCATGTCGAGAGATGTCTACAGCACCGATTACTACAGGGTAAGGTGGCCTTCCTCAGCTGCAGCCGAGCTAGCGCTTGCTCACCTGTCTTTGTCATTGTCCATTAACCTGTCCCTCTGGCGCACACACAAACACACTCAGGCCCAGACGTGCACTCAACAATTCTCCGCGTCACGCCGGCATCCTGACTTACCTGTGTTGAGTGCCCACCAGGGCCCCATCCTCTTTCCTCCAGGGCATTTAGCTGTAACGTATCCTTTCTGCAATGATGTGCATTGTGTTTCCTTTGCATCAGTAGCCATCTGTCACACACATATACGCGTATGTACCTAAACATACACAGGATCCAGCCCCATTTGGTACTATGGGGGAAACACCTCCCATCCCGTCCAGTCCCTGAGCCAGCCTCCCACACGGCACATTATATTTTCTGAAATGATCTGCTGACAACAAAAGGATGATATTTTCTCCAGAAGTAGATCTCCATGACAAACCGGAACCCAAAGTAAAATAGCAACAACGATTTAATTTGAGCAGAGTTGTCCAAATAGCTTAGGAAGGATGGAATAGTTAAAAGGAAGCATGTTATGCTACCAGTTTTGGAAAGGGGTGCTAGTGGGCTTTAAAAATAAGATTCCTGGTTTTAAAGGGAGATCCCCTGTGCAGCTTGACTTCCACACCGTTGTTGTCTACTTTACATGAGCAGGGGTCTTTGTTTCATTTCATAGCATCCTACTGCATCTCCTTCCCATGTACCATTTGAGTGGTTCTTGCAGGGCAAGAACAAGTGACCCAGAGTGTCCCATATGCCAACCAGGGGAGCGAAATGCAACCTGAGACACAAGGATGGGATACTACCTTTTACAAATAAATTTGAGATATCTCAAAGTAAACATGGGTGGTTTACTTGAGAACACTGAGTAGAAGAAGAATTTGGATTAAGGGTGGAAGGATACTGTGAGGACATACATGGGCGATTGAGGGGCATGGCAGCCACCGATGTCATGTTCTCCGTAGGTAATGAGTGATATGAGAGTCAGAGAGTCCACATTTGACTGTCTACTCACCATTGGCTTCAACTTGGTAAAGCAGGAGACTTAAAATCTGACATTGAATTCCCCAGATCATTTCTCTCTGGGTGGTCCTGATGGGTTTGCTTAAAAGAGATTACCCAGACATGAAGAGTAATCATCACTTAGCCCAGAGACGTAGTGGGAAGAGTGAACTGCAACCTATGCCATGAAACAAAATGTGCATAAAGTGCTGAGTGGGAAAGGAATGTATTCTGTACCCGTCCATTCAAACCACAATAAAATGTTCCCTCAAAGAAGGAAAAAATCATAACCTCCTATACCTGGGGATATGATCCCACCGGGAAATAGGAATTTGCTACGTTAATGTGAACATATCAGTTGTAGGAAGTGGCCTAAATCAATCAGCTCTGCACTACAGAAAGAACAGATCAGGCACAGAGAAAAAACCCAAATAGAGGGAAAGCTATGAATATGTCCAAGGAACCAAGGAAAATGCTTACAGAGACCAAGACCTTCTACCAGAGCTAACAGAAGAGGGGGGCGGGAACAGCTCCTAGAACTGACACCCTCAACTCAGATTTTTAGCTTCCCAAACAGTGAGAAAACAAACTCTGTTGGTTGAAGCTCCAAAATAAAATTAATCCCTCAAGATACTTCACCTTGATGGTGTTAGTCTAGGTAGACTAGAGAAACAAATCCATGGACACACATATGTGTATAAGACAGAAGTTTACATACAAGAGCAATTGAACATGGAGAAAACACCCCAGCCCAGTCCAGATCAAGTCCATAAGTCCGACATTAGCCCATATGTCTGATAGCAATCCATAAAGTCCTCTTCAGACTCACGAAACACATGCAAAGATGCCGAATGCAGGATGATCACAGGCCAGTGGGTAGAAAGTCTTTGGATCTAGTGGCATTCTAAGCATCTGAGTGCTGGCAGAGGTCTCCACATGGCTTCTCCAGCTTTGTAGATCTTGTCAGCTGCAATGTCTCCCAGGGAGTGATAGAGAGAGTGCCTCTCCTGCCTCCAAGAAGGAAATACCAGGTTTCCCAGAATTCTCAGGAGAAGGCCATGCCCACACAGAAGTCTCATTGGCTATCTCCAGATTGACAGCCTAGACTCCACCCCTACAATCTTAATCTTTAAATTGACACCAGATTTGGTGACTACCACATTGGCCATGGCCTAGAGAAAAAAGGAATGCTTGGATACTTCCTTTGTGACCAGCGTGCCCCCACCAGAGGATGGCAGACAGTTTGCCATCAAAAGAGTGAAAGACCTTTCGGCCAAGTGGACTTTACAGTGGGGGAACAGCATCCGCAGGCAAGCGGGCAGCTCCCCTAGCCTCTTGCTGTGCTCATCAGCAGTCCTACGTTTGGGAGAGAGAGTAAGCAGCCGCAGGAATGGCTGATGGATGGCTAGGGCAAGTCTGCCAGGAAGGATCAAAGTGGAATCTTCCTCTGGCAGTTAGACCAATGTCTTTAGTCCTTTCCAGGAGAAGCACTGATGAAGAGGTTAGTAGGGATCCATCGGTCATAGATTTCTTGAGTCTGGCTGGTGCCAGCACCATTGAATTGCCTATGCACTCCATGTAATAAGGTTTGCTAGCCTGCCAAGATGAGCATAGATTTATGTTGGTGTCGATGAAAGCAAGGAGTGGTATTTTGATTATGCCAAGCTGGACCGTTCTGGATTTGCCCTAGTCTTGGGAAACTATGTTTGACCAGAATGTGTACAAACAGCCTTCAAACTTGCATCAGAGCATGTACTTAATGCTTCTTGACTCTTGATTTTTAACAAGGGCAGGGAGACCACAGTCAGTGGCCCAGATGGTCCTCCTTTGCCCTTCCGTACTCTTTGTCCTTCTTTCGCAATGGACACCTATTGTTCTTGATGCTTGGGAGAGCTGCCAAAGCCATGATGCCCTCAACACAGTCCACTTCCTTTCTGTGGGTTCAAGGGCAGACTAGAATTTAAGAAGGCAAAGTAGGCCCGAAAAATGTCTATAATCTAAGTATCCTCAATTCTACTTTATGTTTTCGAAGTCAAATGTTAGCTGAGGCCAATTGGCTTGAAAATATATGCCCTTGTTGCAAAGGTAATATGAAACAAGAAAGGATAGATGTTGGAGTAAAAAATGAACACACGATCGGAAAAAAAAAAAAGAAAGTCTATTCCAGTGACGGTGGATAGGGGCTGTATTCCCTTTATTCAGAGAGCAACTTGCATCTCAAAGTTCACTTACAAGTTGCTAGAGTCTAACAGCCACGCCTCCTTCTATAGGAAAAGGGGTGAAGAAAAAGTGAGTTGTGTAAGATCACACTATTGTCTTGTTATCGATGCTGGGAGATACCGTGGAGACGAGGGGATTCCTGGGATTTGGGCCTCATCTTACCTGTGTCACATCCTGACATCATCACATAGTGGGCGTGTGACCTCAGTGTTCTTTCCTTAGCTTCTGTTAAAGTTTCTCGTTTGTGTAGCTGTTCTATTTTCTCATTTAAAAATGAGAACAATAACATTCACTCCATAGCTTTTTGGTGTCAACTAGGCTCATGTTTACAAAGGGCCCAGAACACATTAGTTCCTCGGTCAACAATGGTCTGTTTATTTCATAGTCACTTTAACACCCGAGATAAGAAAGTCCCACTGGGAATCTCATTTTCAGATGCAATTTCCTGAATCACCTAGAAGGACTTCTGACCTCTGTGATAGAAAGGCTAGGATCATGCAGCTGGCTCCACACGTGTAGGTAAATGGGCTCGTATTTGCAGTTGCCATTACATCCGCTCCAATTTATGCAACCTTGTACGTAACAACAATAGGCACTATGGGGTAACCATTGGGCTCTTAACCACAAGGTCAGTGTTTCAAACCCACCCGCCACCCCACAGGGGGGGAAACATAAGGTTGTCTGCATCTAGGTCACTGTGAATTAGAATGCATTCCAGAGCATTGGGGAGATGTGCATACCAGAGTGAAACATTGCCCGTCATGCACCATCTCCAGGGTCTGGGACCGCCTTGAGCCCGATGTTGTGATTATGGGATCAATTTGCATCATGGAGGGTTCTGTTTCCACTGACCCTCTACTCTACCAAATAGGATGTCCTTGTCTAGAGACTGGAGCTTCCTGCTGAACGGGGCGAAGTCCATAAGACCAAGTCCGCCCTCCTTGTTTCTGCAAAGCATTCTGGTTTCATTCCTTACAACCCATGGAGGTTTTCTTCCCATGGTTTCGGTTTAGATGACATTCCTTTGTCATCAGTACTTGCCTGCTCCTCTGGTCAGTGTTTATGTGATCTGGATCATGAATCGTAGCGCTCAGTTCAGATCTGGGTGATTTATATAAGATTTTTGATATTCAGTAGATCCCGGTCAAGGTCCTGGGGGAAGGCAGTGATTTATCAGGCAATGAGAACAATGGAAAGGCTTTTTCTGTACACAGACACCTGGGAACAGGTCTGCATGTCTCTACTACCGTCTGTTACTAAAATCTGTTGGGCTTCGAAGTTTGTTGGCTTCTCATGCCTAATACATCTAAATGCATATAATTAGAGTCCATCTGTGTGTGTGTGTGTGTGTGTGTCTGCCTGCCCAGCATGTATTTCAAAGTGTACACATGAAGACAAGAGGAATGATAGCAATAAACTCTGTGTGTTTTCTTTTTCGTTTTTAATTTCTTCAAACAAAGAGGTACCATCTGGCTCATGCACAGTCACATGCAAACAGTTGACAAAGGTGAACTGCTTAATTTCCTGTTACACTTTTAGAGAGAGAAAACAAACATTCACGCACCTAGCAGCAAGGACAATTTGTTTTTCTCTATTCTTAGCTGTTGTCTGCAGACAAACTCCCCTTTTTCTGAATGGGTCACTGTGACGCTGCTGGGAGGATTGCCTTTCACCCAGCGTGGAAGAGGGGAGGCTTTGTCATTCTAGTTCATGTTTCTCTAACCATCCAAGAACATTGAGAGTTTGAAGGTCAACTCTACAATGA